TGCTATTACCAGTATAGAAAATGTAAAAATGCAGTTCACTTCATGTGATTTTATTTTGTAGAGTCTTTTATTTTGTTTCTAGTTGACTTCGCAGGTGGCACTGACCGTAGAAAAAAGGGCAAACTCCGCTTTTTTTTCTCTATGTATGTGATAACTTTAACTGGAAATCATAACTGGTCCATATTTACCAATTCAGATGAATAATTATCAGTTTGCTGACAACATTGTCATATTTCAGCAGTTCCTTGTGAAATACCCTGCAGTGTTCCAGCAGTACTTTGAGTATTTGAATACAAGTAGATTCATCAATGTCTCTACTTGTTGCCAAGTAAAATAAATAAGTGCTTGTTTATGTCTCCAATGCAGCTGCTCTGCAATGTCGGGCACTCCGAGGAAAAGTTTGGCTTTACCTATGAAGAAATGATCATATGGTGAGTCATAGAGCAAAAAAAAGCAAGGTTGAAGCAAATGTGTTTTGATCTTCTCATCTGAGTGTTTTATTTTTGTTCAGTTATTTTATTTAAATTTATAAAATTATTGTTTAGAAATTAAATTATAAAATTTTGACATAAGTAAAACAGACGTTCAAAAGTTTGGAGTCAGTAAGTTTGTATATATATATATAAACTTACTGACTCCAAACTTTTGAACGTCTGTTTTAATTTATATTTTTATTATTATTTTAATTTATATTTTAATTCAGTAAGATGCATAAAATTGATCAAAAGTGACAATAAAGACATTTTTATATTACAAAATATTATTTCAAATAAATGCTATTCTTTAGTTTTTTTATGTTTATCAAAGAATCCTGGAAAGGAAAGCCATCACAGTTTTCACAAAATAAAATAAAAAATAAGCAGCACTACTGTTTTCAACATTGGTAATAACAAATGTTTAAGTACCAAATCAGCATATTGCTGTGGGTAATGATGGACCGCAGGAGCGGGACCGAATGGTTCGTGCCTGCATCGCCATTATCTGTGAACTTGGTAGGTTTGGAGACTGATCAGTGAACTGTAACGTATCAATCCGTGAATGTGTACGTTGACCACATGAATGTCCATGTTTGTGTGTGCACTGCAGCACTGGAGAACCCTGAGATTGTGGCCAAGAGGGGTGGTCTCAGCACCATCCTGAAGAATGTAATCGACTGTCAGCTCAGTCGCATCAATGAGGCTCTGATGACCACCATCCTGCACCTGCTCAATCACCCACATACACGGCAATACGTTCGCTCTGACGTGGAGCTCGAGGTATGGATCTGTCTTCAACAATTAACCCATCAGAAATTTTATTATTTCATATTCCATCAGTTTTAATTTTATTTTCATTTTTAATTTATTTATTTTTTATTTAATTTTTTTATTTTTATAAAACAAATAATTTAATTAATGTTATTATAAATAATTAAATTAATTAAATAATATTGCTGCAATTTTATTTTATTATTCCTTTAGTCCTGTTAGTTTGTCTTTAATTCAACCTTACATTTTATATTACTATGTGACATTTGTTTTATGCAAATTTGGTAAAAACTATTTTACAAGGTGTTTAGTAAAGTTTTACTTACTTTTTTTTCAGCAAATCCTGGCACCTTACACAGACTTTCACTACAGACACAATCCAGACACAGCAGAGGGTCTACTCAAGTGAGTGTGCTGCTTTAAGGACTTTCAAAGTAGATTTTGCCATTGGTGACACAAACATGCAACTTTTATATGCTGCATGTATGGATTTGTGGTATTTCTTTCTACAGAGAAGACAGGGAGGCTAGATTTCTGGCCAGTAAGATGTCAATTGTTGCTTCCCTTCGCTCTTGGTCAGGTAAGCAATGCCGCTTAAATTCTGTGGAAAACTGCGAAGCTTTCTCTGGAATCCTTATAGTCCAAGATTTCAGTCAATGCTTAAGGTTGATTGTGTAACCGTGCATATCTTAAGATGATGCATCTAAAAAGAAAATGTTTGCATGAATATTGTAATGCATCATGCATCATGCATCTTTTATATGGAATTTCCTCATGAGTGCACTTCTCAGACCAAACCTGTTGTTTTGTCCCACTGTACCTCCAGGCATCATTAATCTCTGCAAATCAGGCAACTCTGGAATCCAGTCTCTCATTGGTTTGCTGTGTATACCAAATATGGAAGTGAGGGTATGGTTAAAGGTTATAATTAGAAAGCTTGCAGAACACATAGTATGCAAATCAAGCAACCAGTTCTTTTCATTTCAAAAGCTACAACACTAAGTTTGGTACATATTTTGTGTTTTTAAAACATTATTAGTTGTGTAATTAATGTTTACAGTTTATATATGTAATAGCTGTTATGTTAAGTCCATAAAGTGTGGAGAAAGTTATTTTATTATTGAATTATTGCAGATTTGCAGGAAATTCAGAAATTTGCAATGAGTCCACACATTTTGTTTAACCTATTATTTATAAAATGCTTATTTAGTGTTCTTAGAATGCATACAAAATATTGAGATTAATTGATGTTATAAAAAAGTTAGATTATTTCATGAGATTAATTTAAATATTTTTAAATAAATAATTTAAAATTGTTTAAATAAATAATTATTATATACAATAATATTATTGGTATATAGTGATAAAATTAATAAAAAAACAAGCCCTAAATATTATACAATGAGATGTACATATTCACCACCGTGATTACTGAATCAGTACTCAAGCCTCATTATGAGGTACTTCATCACACTCTGTCACTCTCTTCTCAGCGAGGTCTTCTGGAGGTGATGTATGATATATTCAGACTCCCTGTTCCCGTGGTGACACAAGATTTTATAGAAGCTCTTCTCAGTGTGGGTGAGTGCGACCGCTGTCTGCTTGCACCAATTAACATATTCATTTCCAGACATCTACCACATCAGAAGTCAACTCACATTGACAGGAACAATGTCCTCTGTCCCTTTTCCAGACCCCAGTAGGTTTCAGGACAGTTGGAGACTGTCAGATGGCTTTGTAGCCTCAGAAGCAAAAATAATTCTTCCACATAGGGCACGGTCCAGGTAAGAGCATTTGCTGAGCTTAATTAACCCTGAAACTGAGCTAAGTAGTGAAGCCTCAGCAGATCAGCCTTGAATGCATTTAGCTCCAAAGTCTTGACGTGTGTTTGTGTTCTTTGTCCACCCAGACCAGATTTGATGGATAACTATCTCGCCTTGCTACTTTGTGCATTCATTCACAGTGGACTTTTAGAGGTAATTTACCATTTTAAAATTGTGATTCACCATCATCTTTTCGAACATGAACAATTCTTGAAGAAAAGAAGCTGTGGTTGATTTTTTTTTTATTCACCCTTGTGTTGTTTCAAGCCCATATACGACTTCATTTCTTACATGGGTCACAAAAGGAGATATTTTGAAGAATGTTCATGCTGCTCTTTTCTATGCAATGAAGCATATACAGACTGTCAAGCTCCAAAAAGGACAAAAAACCCTGGAAAGTAGTCCATGTTACACTCTATTGACTTCTGAAGCCATAATGTTGTTTATTTTCAGGGCCTGGTTGAAGTGATCACTAGCAGTGATGATAGTGTTTCAGTGCGTGCAACCATCCTTTTAGGAGAACTCCTGCATATGGTATTATACTCGAATTACTGCAACAGAAAATATAGCTTAATCTTGTACTATATCTCATATAACCTTCATTTTATTTTCAGGCCAACACCATTCTTCCCCACTCCCATAATCACCACCTGCACTGCCTGCCCACTCTTATGAACATGGCTGCTTCTTTCGACATTCCTCAGGAGAAAAGACTGTGAGTTGCTGTCTTGTCCTACATAGCTGTCAACACAAATAGCACAGTGTCAAAGCTAAGTGATTATTTCTGTGATTTGATGGAGCTCTGTTCGGTTGTGTTTTGTAGACGGGCAAGTACTGCAGTCAATTACTTGAAGCGATTTCATGAGAAGAAGAAACGAGGCCCCAAACCCAATAGTCTTTACTTGGACCACATTATTCGCAAATCGCTGGCTGCTCATTACTGTCGGGACCAGCACCTTAGGCCCCAGAGGGACATTTTTGTCATTAAGGTATGAGCTGGTGACTGGGGAAAGCATTTCTTGGACGTTTCAGCTTGGATGTGATCTGCATTTTTGTTGTGTTTTTTAGGACACTGAGGAGGCCCTGATGATGAACCTCAGAGACAGTCAGATTCTCAGTCATAAACAGAATTTGGAATGGAACTGGGTCCTAATCAGTACCATACTCAAGGTATGAGGTCTCATCCTGCTATTTTTTAAAATGCACAATGTCACAGCCATGAACCACACTTTGCTAAAAGTGTACGCCATCATTCAAACGTTTGGGGTCGGTAAGATTTTTTGTTTTTCAAAGAAGTCTTTTATGCTCACCAAGGCTACATTGATGAAAAATACAGTAAAAACTATATTATTTAGAAATACGATTACAATTTAAAATAACTTTTTAGCTTTTTTATTATATTTTAAAATGTATTTTTTTCTTGCGACGACAAAGCTGATTTTTTCAGCTTCAGAAATCATTCTAATATGCTGATTAGGTGCTTAAGAAACATTTCCTTTTATCAATGTTGAAAACGGTTGCATTAAACTGCTTACTATTTGTATAAGTAGATTTTTTTTGTAACTATGTAAAAGTCTTTACTATCATTTAATGCATCCTTAATCAATAAAAGTATTCATTTCTTTAATTATTTTTTTTTTTTTTTACTTCAAAATTTTGAACACAAGTGTATGTCGGGTGAACATTATATTTAGTCATTTTTTGGACTTTAGCATGCAATAAAGCACCAATCACATTTTCTTTAAATGTAAAAATCTAGTTACAATGTGCAATGTGGTATCTCTTCTAATTTGGTTTTTAATTGTTTCAGTGGCCAAATGCTAACCTTCGGAACAACAAAGAGGAACAGATGCACAAGTAAGCCGAGTTGGGTTTCTTACTCTTAATACTTTTTGTCACCCATTCATTGGTGTAAGTCCTACACTTTCTTTCTCAGGTTTGTACGAAGGCTGCTGTTCTTCTACAAGCCTAGCAGCAAGCTGTATGCTGGCCTGGAGCTGGACCACAGCAAGGCCAGGCAATTAACGGCGGTGGGCTGTCAGTTCATTGAGTTTCTGCTGGAGTCAGATGAGGTGAGAAGAAACATTGTCAAACAACTGAGCCTATGATTTATCGCCCATTACTTTCTCACTGTCATGTGGCTCCAAACCTGTATAACTTTCTTCCATTTTCCAGTTTCTCAAAGTGTGTTTCACAGAAGAAAGAACAACATGATAGATGACACAATTTTGAGCTATTTTCTGTCTTCTCAGGATGGCCAGGTGTTTCTTGAAGACCTGGTGAAGGACATTGTCCAGTGGCTGTCCTCATCCTCTGGCCTGAAACCAGACCGTAGTCTGCAGAGCAACGGCCTCCTCACCACTCTCAGCCAGCACTACTTCCTCTTCCTCGGCACTCTCTCTGCCCACCCGCAGGGTGTTAAGATGCTTGAGAAGTGCAGCGTCTTCCAGTGGTTAGTCTAGGACTTCGCAGGAATGATATGGAGATACACAATATATTGGTATCTTCTAATATTAGCCTTTTTTCTCATTGTTTTGACAGCCTGCTGAACCTGTGCTCCTTGAAGAACCAGGACCATCTTCTGAAGCTGATTGTTTCCACACTGGACTACAGCCGGGATGGCTTAGCACGAATCATCCTCTCCAAGATCCTCACTGCTGCCACTGACGTAAGAAACAGGCCTACTACCCTTTGACCCCGTTTACCTTAATGCCATATACTTTGACCTAGCCTTGCTTAGCAAAGCATGCTGGTAAGAGCATTCCCCTATGCTAACAGATCTCTAGTATAGCTCTTGAATGTTATTTTGGCACAGAACTGCAGGCTGTACGCCACCAAGCATCTGCGGGTACTACTTCGAGCTAACGTGGAGTTCTTCAGCAATTGGGGTATTGAACTGCTGGTGACTCAGCTACACGACCGCAACAAGGCCGTCTCGGTGGAGGCTTTGGACATACTGGATGAGGCCAGTGAAGACAAGGTGAAGTCAGATAACACATAAGGGCAAAATGGAGGATGTTACTGACATTGAGAAGTTTAACTTGGCAGAAAGTCATGTTATTTAACTGAGCTTGGTCTAGGTAATATAACAAAACGTGTTGATGTTGGAGGCACTTGTGAATTGACTATGCTGTGCCAGTGTAGCTCTGTTCCAGGAATTTGTCATGGAGATCTGTAAACAGCCAGAATCTAGGTCAAAATTGACAGTTATATCGTGGCTTGTGAATACATGTCTAATTACATGACTTATCTTAGGCAAACCTACACGCTCTGATTCAGATGAAGCCAGCGCTAACTCACCTTGGAGACAAGGGTGTGCTGTTGCTGCTACGGTAAAGCTCAGATATTCCCTGTATAACTACTAAGGTGCACTACATATTTCTTCCTCATAGTAATTTTCAGCATCATTACTCCAGTAGTGTCATGTGATCCTTCGGAAATCAATCTAATATGCTGATTTGGTGCTCGAGACACATTTCTTAACATCATTATTCCTTGATGAATGTAACATTCAAAAGAACAGCATTCATTTTAAATAAAAATATTTTGTAACAATATAAATGCCACTGACACAATTTAAAGGGGTCATATGATGCTATTTTAAAGATCATTATTTTGTGTATTTGGTGTAACAGAATATGTTGACATGCTTTAATGTTCAAAAAACACATGATTTTTCAAATACTGTACATTATTGTAGGTCATCAATGCCCCGCCTCTCTCAAACACGTAGTTTTCAACAAAGCCCCCTCCTTTGACAAGCACAGTCTGCTCTGATTGGCCAGCTGAACCAGTGCATTGTGATTGGCCGAACACAACAAGCACGCGTCGGAAATGTAACGCCCCGACCCCTTTAAAGCATCCTTGCTGAATAAAAGTCTTTCTGATCATTTTGAGATCACATGAGCAGTCTTTTAAATGAATTAGCACAGACTTGGAATAAACATCTCAAACTCTCAAAATATTCAAGTTTATTTGTATAGCGCTTTTCATGATACAAATCGTTGCAAAGCAACTTTACAGCAAATTAAGTTTCTACAATATTTAGTGGTAGCTTATCAGTGGTGACTACTATCTAAAATATGTCTCGGCTATCTCTGACAAAGCATCTTTGAGAAAACACTTAAGCAATTTTAAAGAATTGCCTGAAAAGTTTAGTTAATATGTGAGATTAACAGCACTGGTCAATGTATTTTACCATTGTGTTGTCCCACTTTTATCTTTTAAAGCTCATGCTGTGTATAAATATGGATATTTTGTATAAATTGCTTAACTGACTTGCAGTAAAGTTGAAAAGGGTCTTATTTGCGTAAGAAACAGCTCCTTTTCCATCCATTTCCAGGTTTTTGTCCATTCCAAAGGGGTTCTCCTATCTAAATGAAAGGGGATATGTCACTAAACAACTAGAAAAATGGCAGAAGGTAATAATGTATTTTACCATTATTCTACACTGTTGAAAGTGTTTTAGATTGTTTACAGTATATACATCAATAACATGTATTCTGCATGTTTGTATTTATTATTTTTCTGTAGTACTTGAATTGCTGTACCCATTCTGTCCAATTACTTTTGTTCCCCTGTAGGAATGCAACCTCAAGTATGTGGACCTCATAGAGGAACAGCTAAATGAAGCACTCACTACTTACCGTAAACCAGTGGATGGAGATAACTATGTGCGACGGAGCAACCAAAGGTTTTCCGTGGAAACTTTATCCTTTAGCCTGTATTATGATTTGGAAGGAAGTCATCCATAACTTTTTCCGTGTCTAAAATCTTTCTTACAGGTTACAAAGACCAAATGTTTTTCTTCCTGTGCATTTGTATGGGCAGCTTGTACATGATAAGACAGGCTGTCATTTGCTGGAATCTCAGGTGTGTGTTTTAAAATCACTTACTGTATGACAGGCCCTGATGGTGATGCATTTCTTCATATAATGCTTCTTTTCTGTCTCTAACAGAATGTAGTTTCAGACCTGAGCTACACAGTGCGCTGCCCAGTGCTGGACAAATGGGATGGCATTAAACAGCTTAAAGCTGCTCTTTGGGCCCTGGTGAGTTGCTGCTGTGTTTGTGTGGGTGGGTGGGTTTATTGTTTATAAGGACACAATGTGTATAATGAAATGGGTATTACATAGTGAACTTGGTTTTTAAGGACACTTCCTGTGTCTAGAATTTGTCTTGCGAGGCTAAGACATGTTGAAGAAGTTTTCATACTATCTTTGTGGTAATAATTATCAGGAGCATTAATAATATTATTATGAACTATAAACTATTTACTCTGCTTGCTTCAAGGGAAACATTGGCACGTCTAACTGGGGACTGAATCTGCTACAGGAAGAGAATGTAATTCCAGATATCGTCGCTCTTGCCCATGACTGTGAGGTTCTGTCTATTAGAGGGTATGTGCTCTTGATTTCAGGATCAACCTGGCTGCATATGGCCAAAAATGGTAAAATTTAGATATGGCATTTAAGTCAAATGCTCAAATTAGGCGCTCATTTCAGCTAAATGTTTAGAAGATTTAAATCTTTTTTTTTTTTTATTCATTTTGTGACTGTAACAGAAAAGATATCTGAAGTTATAATGCTAACATACAAAATAGCCAATTATTTTTTTCTTTTTTAGAAAATGTATGGTTCCAGTTATCACAAATAAAATGACAAAAATAAGACACTTGCATTGCAACATTTACTGGTTTCTATTGCACAGAGATATTGCACAACTTGCCCAACTGGGTGACCAGACATGAGGTGACTGAAAGCTAATGGTGAACCCCTCTAAACACTTCCATAGTTTCAAAATGACTTTCTCAGAAACCAGTTTTTTCTGGGTTTAGTTGACTCTGTGAATTGCGTCATACCTCCTCCCTGAGTAATCTTGCATTCTTTCTTTTTTTATACACGCTGATCTTTGCTGTCTTTTTGTTGCATTTTTTGCCTCTCACAATTTTTGCCTTTTTTCCCCTCTCTCAGGACATGTCTTTATGTTCTGGGACTCATTTCTAAAACTAAGCAGGGATGTGAGCTTCTCAAACTGCATGGTTGGGATGCAGTTAGGCACAATCGCAGACAGCTATGGCCTGTGGTGCCGGATGAGGTGGAGCAGAGCCAGAACCTACAGCAGCAGCAGCAACAACTGCAGCAACCCCTCATCCACCTGTCCTCAGCACCCAGCACCCTCAGCCTGAACTCTGAGTCCACCAGCTCTAGACATAACAGCGAGAGTGACTCCACTCAGCCTAGTGAGTGCTGCTCCCATCTACTCATACATGACTAATGGCCCACAGTACACTGTGGTTTAGGGTGGAGGTCCTTCTTACCACCTTTCAGATCTTCTTATATGAAGCATAGCCATCTCATATTTATCATTATTAGCTTAGAATCTGACTGCATTTTACTGCTGTGAAGGTGTCTTTAACATGGTTTCATTTTTAGATTTCAGTCTTTATTTCAACTACTGTATATTAATAGATCAAGATGATTTAATGCACCAAAACAGTATAGCAAATAGCACAAATGGTGCTTATCTAGCACCACAAATGAAATTTAGAGGTGCTTTTTCCTTCCCGTTCTTGTATTAGGGTTGTGTAATTGTGTTGTGTAATTTCTTCCACATGCAATTTGATATTGAAAAAAGACTAGACTTGTAGACCCTTGAAGATTTAAATCTTTTTTTTTTTTAATTCATTTTGTGACTGTAACAGAAAAGATATCTGAAGTTATAATGCTAACATACAAAATAGCCAATGATTTTTTTCTTTTTTAGAAAATGTATGGTTCCAGTTATCACAAATAAAATGACAAAAATAAGACACTTGCATTGCAACATTTACTGGTTTCTATTGCACAGAGATATTGCACAACTTGCCCAACTGGGTGACCAGACATGAGGTGACTGAAAGCTAATGGTGAACCCCTCTAAACACTTCCATAGTTTCAAAATGACTTTCTCAGAAACCAGTTTTTTCTGGGTTTAGTTGACTCTGTGAATTGCGTCATACCTCCTCCCTGAGTAATCTTGCATTCTTTCTTTTTTTATACACGCTGATCTTTGCTGTCTTTTTGTTGCATTTTTTGCCTCTCACAATTTTTGCCTTTTTTCCCCTCTCTCAGGACATGTCTTTATGTTCTGGGACTCATTTCTAAAACTAAGCAGGGATGTGAGCTTCTCAAACTGCATGGTTGGGATGCAGTTAGGCACAATCGCAGACAGCTATGGCCTGTGGTGCCGGATGAGGTGGAGCAGAGCCAGAACCTACAGCAGCAGCAGCAACAACTGCAGCAACCCCTCATCCACCTGTCCTCAGCACCCAGCACCCTCAGCCTGAACTCTGAGTCCACCAGCTCTAGACATAACAGCGAGAGTGACTCCACTCAGCCTAGTGAGTGCTGCTCCCATCTACTCATACATGACTAATGGCCCACAGTACACTGTGGTTTAGGGTGGAGGTCCTTCTTACCACCTTTCAGATCTTCTTATATGAAGCATAGCCATCTCATATTTATCATTATTAGCTTAGAATCTGACTGCATTTTACTGCTGTGAAGGTGTCTTTAACATGGTTTCATTTTTAGATTTCAGTCTTTATTTCAACTACTGTATATTAATAGATCAAGATGATTTAATGCACCAAAACAGTATAGCAAATAGCACAAATGGTGCTTATCTAGCACCACAAATGAAATTTAGAGGTGCTTTTTCCTTCCCGTTCTTGTATTAGGGTTGTGTAATTGTGTTGTGTAATTTCTTCCACATGCAATTTGATATTGAAAAAAGACTAGACTTGTAGACCCTTTTAGTCAGCTTTTGGCTGAGTTTATCTGACAACCTGGTCTAGACTGACTGTGAGTGATGTGAAATGTTATCTATTTATAAATGATCTTTTGAATTTTGGAGTGATTGACTTCAAATAGTTAGAAATATCTTTAAAGCCATTCCCAGACTTGTAAGCGTCAACAAATTAGCACTTTGTTTTCAATTGCACCTCTTGATGTGCCAGATTCAGCTATAAAAAGGTATCTTTCTTACTTAATGGAATGGTTGGGCTTACATTTATATAGAGAGGTGTTTCAGACATGGCTTAGTAAGGCTTAGGAAGAGTCATGAATCATTATCTACCCACTGACTGGTTTTAGATGACTAAGCACAGTCAGTTATCCTGACTTGAATAGAAACTGGAAAAGGGGAAAAGTTTAGGCTTTTCTTGACCCACACTTTAAAACAAACCACACACTGATTTTCTGCACACACTATGAAAACACACTAATCTAGTGGTAACTCTCAAAACAATCTAAAAGTAAAATTGCCAAAATGCCTTGCTTCCTTTTCAGGCATGTACATCCTGGATGATGACAAGTTAGAAAGCTCTGAACTTTCAGAGGACCAGCCACTGTACTTCAGGCCCAAACTCCTAAAGGACCGCAGCCCCTTCACCATACTAGCCTCCAGTCGACTTGTCCGAAACAGCTTCCTCATCTCGCTCTCTGGAAAAAAACTCCGTAGTACCAGTGACCCCAAAGGCACTGGTAGCAGCAGTAAACTCCATGGTGAGCCCACGTTAGGAGGCCTAAGGAGGATACGCACAGTTACAGAGCCCTCTATATTCTCTCAAGTTCAGGGAGATGTTTTTAGTCCTGTATTTACTGACGGACATCTGCCGAAAAGCCCAAGCGTTAGTCTGGATACCTCTTTTGTAGGCAGCAAGACTTCGGAAACTCAGGGCAGCACATCTAGTATTGGGGAGCCGGAGGTACGTCTGAACAAAGCTGCAGAACGGAGCTCAGGAGTTGGAGACGCCCACCGAGAGCAGACCAGTCGGGAAAGGCTGGCCGGCGATGGCTCAGCCTCTGGGGGCGGGGCTCAGTTTAAAAGTCGCAGCCAGAGTTTCAACACAGACACGACCACTAGTGGTATCAGCTCCATGAGCTCCAGCCCATCCAGAGAGACGGTGGGTGGCGTGGACTCTTCCACCATCGACACGGACTGTGTTAGCCTCAATACGGTCATTAGCACTCAAACTGTCAAAACACTTCACTCTCTCACGCCCCAGTCCAACCACCTTCCCCTGTCCAAATCTAACTCGGTACTGCTGATGCCACCGGGTTCTTCTCATACTTTGCCACGCAGGGCTCAGTCCCTTAAATCACCTTCTGTCACGACCATTTCAAGCCTGACAGACTGTAGCTGCATGTACACCAGCCCTCGGGACGCACTGGGATACGCTACCCTCAAACGACTACAGCAGCAGCGCATTCACCCCTCCCTTTCCCATAGCGAGGCGCTTGCCTCGCCTGCCAAAGACGTGCTCTTCACCGATGCCATCACTATGAAAACTGGCAGCCTGGACTCCAGACTCACACCACGCAGGTAAAGCAGATGGACCAACAGATGGTGCGAAACTCTTCCCTTTTCTGTCATTGTCACCCTTCTTTTACTGTTTCTTTCATGTTAGATTTTACACTTACACCAATTGTCACACAGCATTCGCAGAATGCATCCACATTTATCGTCCTTCTCCAAAGGTTTCAAAATGTCTCGACTCAGAAAAGTCACTTTCTCAGAAGTGTCATTAGGAGTTAAGACATTACAGAGGAAGTCGTGCTTCTTTAGACTTCCTTTAATATTATTCCTTTTTGTGATGTGGCTGTTAAAGTTATCAGCCTGATAGGATCATAATATTATCAATTCGAGAAATATCAATGTTAATCAGACAAGAAATGAGCACTAGAGTTCCCCATTAGTGTTACCATCCACATAATCTGAAAATGACACCCCTAAAAGTCCCTTAGGAAGCACTGCTCCCTAAGAAATAATGTGGTGTGTTTCTGATGGTCCCTCTCAGGTATACTAAAAAGCGCTTCAGATGTCTGGGCCAAGGTTCGAGCAGGCCCCAACGCAGATCTCTGCTGCCACGGTGCGTGGACCATCCCTAGGGCTGACGTTCCCCTTTTTCAGTCTGAACGTCCACTTCAGTGCATTTTTACAATACAAAAACCCTGGCCTTCTTGGCTTCTTTTTCGTCGTACTTTGCCCCCCTTTTTCATTTCTCATTAGCGCTCCCACAGCCCATACCTTAACCTGATACTCTTCAACCATGACTCCTTGAAATTACCTCCCCACAGTAGGACAAAGTAAACTCTCCTCATTCCTCATTGATTGTATGTAGTTCTAAAAAAGACTTTCTAACCTACGCCCCGTCTCCATTGTCACAGAACTCCTTCAAGTAGTTTACTGATGTGAACGGACTGAAACTGATTCCCACAATAGCCGCATTCCCGCATTTGATCCAAGAAGCATGTAGAGGTTTTTGACCTACAGTACTTGCATGATGCAGCTAATGACAAAAAGCTGCTCATTCTGAAATGTGAATACACTTCACCAGCCTGTTCCCACATTGACAAACCTACCAATCATCTGCTAGCAAGACTACAGTAATGCAGTATCATCACAAGTAGTTTCCAAAATGTCCAAACCTCCTTTCTTGCCGTATCCTCTCTCCCAATGTTGTCCATCTTCCAAACGCTTCTCTCTGATCTCTTCCCATCTGTATGAGTACAGGTTTCTCAAGGCTTTGAGTTTTGCATCTCTGGATAAGGAGGATCTTCTGAGCCCTATCAGTCAAACCTCCCTTCAGCGCTCCTCCTCAGTGCGTTCAATGGTGTCCAGTGCCACATATGGCAACTCCGATGACTATATTGGCCTTGCACTGCCAATGAACATCAACAGCATGTTCCAGGTTACTAACTACTCTATGATCCTGGTTATACCTGGTACTAACATCCATCTCTGGTGATCTGATCTCAGTTTGTCTATCAGGGCAGATTGCTCTTCATACATGGCATTAAACATGGGATAGTTCACCCAGAAATGAAAATTCTGTCTTTAATTAGTCACCCTCGTGTCTTTCCAAACCCGTAAGACCTTTGTTCATCTTCGGAACACAAATTAAGATATTTTTGATGAAATCTGAGAGCTTTCTGACCCTGCATAGACAGCAATGCAACTGAAACTTTCAAGGCCCAGAAAGGTAGTAAAAAAAAATTTTTTTTTTTTTAAACAAAAAAACCCAAAATAACGACTTATTCAACAATTTCTTCTCTTCCGTGTCAGTCTGTGTTCAGTCATGATTCTCTTGTGAATGCGCGTCAAAGACACGGAAGAGAAGAAATTGTTGAATAAAGTCGGTATTTTTGTTTTCTTTGCGCACAAAAAGTATTCTCATAGCTTCATAACATTACGATTAAACCACTGTCACATGGACTATTTTAACAATGTCCTAACTACATTTCTTGGCCTTGAATGTGTCAGTTCTGTTGCTGTCTATGCAGGGTCAGAAAGCTCTTGGATTTCTTCAAAAATATCTTAATCTGTGTTCCGAAGATGAACGAACGTCTTACGGGTTTGGAACGACATGAGGGTCAGTAATTAATGACAGAATTTAAGCCTTTAACATGCCAATTAAATATGTCTTGGTCGAACTGTCTCAAGGAGAGGTCTGCATGTTCAAGTGTATGGTCACCGCTTCCAAAAGGGATAGGATTATCCAAAAAGCATGTCAGTACCAAGTGTAAACCGGCATTACAAAAATACCCTCTAAATTTGTGTCTGAAACTTGACTTTCTTGTATTTGGTTGCTAACTAGATTAAAGACATACCATACTTCCAGAAGAGGACAAGTCCACCGTCAGAGGACCGATCAGCAAAGTTCTTCTCGGGAGATGCAGATGGTAAGACTGGCATGGTTGTTGTGTTTAAGCTCTGTATACTATTCCCATTGCATTAGTGCCTCGCTAATCTTTCAGTATTCTGAATGCTGTTCTTTCCTCAGGTTCCAGTGAAGGATCTAGGCATTCTGTTCTGCGATCTCAGCTTAGTATCACAGAGCTGATTGCGGTGAGCCGTTCAGACCAGCACCAGCTGCTGGGTGCGGAGGAGACCGGCCTGCAGGAGCACAATGAGGACAACTGTCTTTACTGTGCAGGGCTCTACGTGCTTGGATGCAATTTAAACACTCCCACACAAAACCGCACAGGTAAGCTACACGTTTATCCAAATGAATATCGGTAAAAGGTGACATCACTTTGACCAGATGTCCCTAAAAAGCTGTGAGGATGCATGCAATATTTCAATTATGGTCAACTAGTTACCGTATATTAGAACATCATTAGTTAATTTGAGTTTCCTCGTGTTCTTACACACCCTAAATCCCGTTTTAGACTATCCCGATGCTCCATTCTCGGAATGGTGCAATCAGTCCTTACACAACCTGGACGTCATGCCTCCGTCTAAGTACTCAGGTGTGTCTGGCTGCAGCGATGCTGTCTCTCAGGGCTCTGGTGGCAGCACACGCAGCACCGAGCTTGTACTTGGTGAGGAATTCTTCAGCCTGGCAAAAGTCCGATTGGAAAATTCAGGCAATTCTCAAGGGTTTTGTTTCGTACAGTTTCATTGTTAATTGTATGCCTGCGCATGCTGTCTTTCTGCCAGGGGTGAAAAATATTCCAGAGGATGCTCCAGCCTGCCGTGTTCTTCTGAGGAAGGAGGTGCTTCGGCTGGTCATCAACCTGAGCTCCTCAGTGGGGACCAAAGGGAATGAAACCGGACTCCTCACGTAAGAAGACAAATCATCCACAACGATTTCGGTTTAACAAATTAATTTTTCAACAGGTTTCACTGAACTCTTTGGCTGAACATTGTTTGATCCTTTTAATGAGGCAGAATAAAGTGAAATGGGGAAAATGGATGGAAAAGTGAAGCTTAGTAGAGAGAGGATTTTTTCTTCTTCCATGTTTTCTTTCATTGTAACTTGTTACCTTGCAGAATCAAGGAAAAGTTTCCTTATGCGTTTGATGACATCTGCCTGTATTCCGAAGTTTCATACTTGTTGGCGCATTGCATGTTCAGACTGGCTTCACGACGCTTCATTCAGGAGCTCTTTCAAGATGTTCAGTTCATTCCGGTAATATGAAACTTTTCTCTCAGTAGCCCAAATCCAAACAGAACTGTTTTTCTGTAACTAATCTGTGTTTTTACAATCTAGGTTGCACCAGAACTCCGATTTTCTTTTGTGTAAAAAAATATTTTATTGGTGATATTGATGATATCCCTTATAAATTGTTTTTCAGTTCTGGATTTAAACTGGGTTCATTTCTATGCCACTAGTATAAATTAACAGAATTGCTAAATAATGATTGTTTTTATTACTTTTTCATTACTAAAGCATACATGTCATAATCTTTTTATTTGTAGATGTACGAGGAGGCTGAGAGCATTCTGTCAATGCCCAAGAAGTCTACCACAGTATATCTTCCATCAGAACCGTGATCATCCTCTAAGTGTTTTAAATCACACTATTCTCTTCCCCGATGCAGCAATTATGGATCTCTTTCTTGGCCTGACCATGCGACTAAGATGAATACGCAATAAGAGACTAGGGCTATGGAACAGACATAGGTGGATTGAGAGAGTCACCGGGAACATTTCCACAGAAAGAGAAAAAGCGGTACGTTAAGAGAACAAACTCTTTTTACCTGAACAAATACTCTACACGGAAGCTCTGTGGACATTTACAGTGTAACCAAATAATCCTTGTAAACTGAACGGAAAGTGAAACATGCAAATATTTGATCTGTGAGTCAATACGAATTGTATTTCAAATGCAAGCAAAATCTTTCAAGACTGTCTAGGGAGATGATTAACTTCCATTTTTTTTTATAAAGGCCTAGGGGTATGATTGCACGTAACAGAAGCATTTTTTTCCTCGAGTGGATCCCTCAACACTACAACATTCCAGCTGTTTTCTTTGGATTTCTCTATTACTAATTTTGGTTGTTTCAAATATGAAATAGCTTTCGCAACCAGGCCGAGCAAACACTCTTAGTCCTGGTGTGATTTGCTTTGTAAGACAATCATCATTAAGTAATAATAATAGTCAGCAACTGCCAGTTGTTGTTTTTTTTCCTCTTTTGTACCCGACTCATAAAAGTGTCTTTTCTGCTTATTGATTTTTATCTTGACGTAGCACATAGCAATCCCTGAGTAAATGTATGTGCATGTATTTGATGGTGTTGTTACACAATAATGCAATAGCGACTGTATTGTATTAATGTGTAACTTTGTTAACTGACTTATGAAACGTCATCCAAAAAAATCTGACATTTGAATCAGTAATATATATATTTATTTATTTATTCACTTATTTATTGTTTGGTCCAAGCAGCTCCTCTGTCCCTTTCACTTTGTTTTAGCCTATTAGCTAGGATAACTGGCTGTGTATTATTTATGTCTGACAGTCAGTGTTCGTGTAGACAACGGGCTTCAAAAGAGGAAGTTAAAGTGCATTTCACCACTGCCATTTTGCAGTTTTACTCTTCTCTGTTTTAAGTCATTTTAGAGATTTTAACTAACCCATAGAAAGTTTTCTCTTTCTGTAGAGAAAATCATTAATTATTGAAGCATTAATAAAACCAAGATTCGCCAAACATATTTCACAATATTTGTATATGAGAATACCTTTTGTACTTTATTCTCTCTTTCGGATTGCTAATAATGCTTTTTTTTTTACCTGAATGTGGTCAGGAGATTTTGAACGGGCAAAAAACATATTGGGTATAAAACATATTTAATATTGGGTTAAAAAGTAAGGTTAAACTGACAAGACATGATTGAGAACGATCCTTAATATATGACATGTTCTGCTTAAATTAAATTCGTAAACTACTACGCTTTATCATTGTCAATATTTATAACAGCAATTATCAGTATTTCACATACCCAGTATGGTTAAAAGATTTCGAAATGTCTTCAGGGTCAGGATAAATCTAGTTTAACATTGCATAAAAAAAAAACATTACCAAAAATGGTTAGATCCCATTTTGTAAGTGTAAATTTGAGGTTCGTTTTAATTATTTCCATGCAATGTGCCTGTTAATTTTGTATGCACAAATGACTTGTTGTTGAAGATAAGACGATCACTTCATTTTCTTGGCTGGACCATTTATATTATTTAGGCAGCTTTAATTATTTTGCCTTTTTTGTATTCGCTTTAACCCTGACTTTTAGAATTAATGAATTTGCCCTTTTTCTTGTTTTATTTATTATAGGAACTAATAAATCTGCCTTTGCCTGCCTTGGCTTTTGAATTTAAGCATCAGGTTTCAACTTCCATTATTTTTTCTATTGTAAAAACTGAGTCTGATATGGCCAGCAATAATACTAGTTGTTGTTACAGTATTTCCTTTTAGGCTTCTGGGGAAATTTTTAAGTGCATGTGCATTCTAACCCCTATCTGCAGTATAATGGATAGGAAAAAAAGAAATATGGGAACTGTCCAAGAGCAACAGATAATGTTTGGGATGGTATGTATGATGCAGTCTTTTTTAGTATATGCTGGCTGGACATTGAACAATAATTAAGCCTCTTATAAAATATTCTTTTTGAACAAAATAAATCTGGAATCTGCCCCTAATATTTTCAGAAGTGTTCTTGAATAAATAAGTCATTAGAGTGTGTGGTGAAAATATCCCAGAATGCCAGATGGTTGGGTCTTTTTCCACAGTGTTAAATCATGTTTTATTATTTTCTTGCTTTCATTTTTCACTAGGGGTTATGTGCAACCCATGACCGGAAGCCATTGTCAAATTGTTTTAAAAGAATTTTTGAAATAACAAATGTATTGGTGTTTTTAAAACCTTAGAAATAATAACGAGCGCCAATTATTGCAGAGTTATTTGTATTTGTGGAACAAGTTCCAAGTATTTTAAAGGGGTTGTTTTCTCCATCACCATTCATGCTAAGAGTGTAAAGGAAATGCATATATTTTTAATGTACATTTGCTCATTGTTCAACAAACTTTTTTCTTTTCTTTTAAGTGCACTCATGATTTTGCAGAGCACTGTATGAAATATAAGCACCATTTAATAATGAAATTTCAGAGACTGATGCAAGAAGTGTTATTTATATTTTTCCTGAAGGGAAAAAGCATCAAACTGTTGTACATACTTCAAACGTTTCTTTAATTGTATAATTTAATGTGTTTTGGGGGGCATTAGCTGTGGGCCTTGAGAATCTAATGAAAGGGATGCGTCCGTGATAAAATAAACCTCAATTTCCTTGACTCATTTCTCAAGTGTTTCATTGTTGTTTGGAAAATATTTTTATCTGTTCAAATCAGAAAGTCCTTCTGCCCAGAGGGGCTACTGTGTGCCCAGCCCGAGCCAGCTGCGCGAGCAAGAATTCCACAGAAACACTTCCGCTGCTTTCCACAGAACAGTCAGTCATCATTGTATACTAGGCCCTATAGCTACAATCCCCTCCCTTGCGTGTTTGTTTTCTTTTGCATATTTTGTCCGATACGATACTGCCTTCATCTAACGTTACTAACATGACTTTAGTATTCTCCGCTCTTATAACAGTTTACCTAATGTAGTCCATATTGAGTTCTCCAGTCAGCGATGACCGTGTGAAATGGTCCTGTATAATCCACATTCCTTTCTTACTTCCTACTGAGCCCTCATCTTATAATGAGTACTGTACGCAGGAAAATATCGATATTAGCCTAAAATCTTCGAGATGGCGACGGGGAATAGTTTTAACGTGCTGCCATTATCACAGCGGTTAATATACTTGTTAATCTTGATTCCCTTTCCAGTGATTATCTCGTAACTTCCCGCACGCACGCACGCTTCCACTGAGATCCTCCCACTTCACGTTCTCACACTCCTGTCGTTACTGAGAGCGTAGTTCAGCGAACTGCGAGTGAACTTTGTTGTGTTCTAAAACTCAGCTCTGACAACTTTTACATTTTTAGCTTTGAACGAAAATAATGTAAGGAAACCCTTACAGCTGATTCTTCTTGAGGCTTTAAGGCTGCGAACACTTTACACAGGTGGGTGTTTGTTCTCGTCATTCTTTTAAATTTTAATGAAAGGCATTGTGTAATGTTGGTGTTCTTAGTAACACGAATTCTATAATATGACTAGTTGACATGTTAACTAGCTGGATGTGTTTTGTGGCATACTTTATTTTCGGTACGGTTCAAAAGGAGAGATGAGCAGGATTGCTGCTTCTTGATGGCCTGATGAATTATATGTTTGAATAGATTTTTATTCATTACTCATAATCCATTTCTGGTCTTATGAGTAAAACATTTATTTTGGTTTCTTCTCTAGAGTTTCTCCATCAGAATAAGAAAAGTTGTGCTATTTGTATATCTGAATCACAAATGAGTTGAAGGGTTAATGTCCAAATAACAAAATCATCTATTTTTATTCCAAAAAAAGAAACCAGTTGGGCTGTGGTGCAGTGGGTACTACACATACTCAAGGTAATGCAATTTGATTTTGTGTTGAATCATGTCCTGATGATTCCATTTTTTGTATCTCCTATCTCTATGTCATGTAAATTAAAACCCATTAGAGAAGAAAGATGGCATATTTCCATTTTTGTGTACCTTATTAGGTGTTATTCAGCCACGGTTAATTGAACCATTTTGTTTCCTTAGCAGATCTAATTGCTAATGGAGAAACTAGTGAGCCATTACTTGTCCAGAATCTCCTGAGCTCTATCATGTCAGTCTGGCTTTTGTGTGCTTTGCTTTTTTCTCTGATTGGCCAAACAGAACAGGATGGTGAGTCTTGAATGCATTAAACTGTTGTTGCTAAACTTTTAAAGAAACCATTCAACCAAAAATTTAAATTTGCAAAAAATGTGCACCCTTAAGCCATCCAAGATGAGTTTGTTTTTTCATCAGAACAGATTTGGAGAAATGTATCACTTGCTCACCATTGGATGCTCTGCAGTGAATGGGTGCCGTCAGAATGAGTGTCCAAACACAAGAAATCCACAAGAAACACGAAAAGCTGCATGTTTGTAATAAACGACTCCATCACGTCTTTAACTTCAAATGAGTCCTCTATCCACAATATTGCTTTTTCTAGTGAAAAAAAATCATCTCATCTGAATCAGGAAAGAAATATGCACAGATTAAGCAGTTTAAAAGCAAACAGTCCAAAATAGTCATAATGAAGGATTTGTCTCTAATAAACACATAGCTTTTAATTGATGGACTGGAGTCGTGTGGAATGGATTACTGTGATGCTTGTATCAGCTGTTTGGACTCTCGTTCTGACGGCACCCATTCACTGCAGAGGATCCATTGATGAGCTAGTGATGTAATGCTACATTTCTCCACATTTGTTTTTTGTCCAAAGAAACAAACACATCCATATCTCAGATGGCCTGAGGATGAGTACATTTTCAGAAAATGTTTTTTGGGTGAATTTTTTTTGGGTGAACTATTCCTTTAATAGTACAATACCTTCTTATTTCAATTTTTAGTTGAGACCATTGATAGAAGAACTGACTTATTGTATGTATCAACAGGACACCCAGTTCCTATAGAAGAGGTGAAAGTGTATTCAGAAGAAACCGCATCATCTGATTGTGGTGCATGGGTGTTGAACGTTACATGGAGAGATAAGTTTGCCGAAAATAATGAATCCGAGAAAGTCAGCTACGACATAGAGGTCCTTCGTACTGAACAGATGAGGACTGTTCACTTTGTAAGTGAGATTTTTTTGACAAAAGCAATGGAAATATATGTCTAAGGTCATTTTTAATGTCAAATAACTGTTTTAGGAAACTATACATGTGATGCCAGACAAAACATCCTATCATTGGAAATGGACTTCACCTATACCGTTGCAGTGCACTTCCCATTCAGTCAGACTTAGGCGCCATAATGAGCATCACATTGGTGAATGGACACCATTATACACACACAAAGGTTTGTAGCCACAGGTTGTTCTTATACTGTATGCACCTGTTATGCAAATAGGAAAACAACTGAACGACAACTGTTTTGCCTATAAAATAACAGGACGAGATCTAAATGCTGCGACAACAACTGTCTATCCTCACGATCAAGTTTTCGTGGTTGGGAGTAACATCACGTTCTGTTGCATCGTGGAAACCGATAAGGTTCCATTGTCCGGATTTCTAATTCGCATCAGCAACAGGACATACATCACAAAACCAGTTCCATTTGAAAGGCCTTATGGACCCAACATACATTGTGATGTTGAGGGAGACCCTTCTGGCTCTACAATATTTATTGGCTGTAAGTCTAAATACATCCTATTTAATA